TGATTCTCTTGCCTTAGCCTCCCAAGTAGCTGGGACTACAGGCACCTGCCACAGTGCCCAGCTATTTTTTTTTTTTTTTTGGTTGTAGTTATCATCATTGTTGTTTGGCAGGTCCAGGCTAGATTTGAACCCCCAGCTCTGGTATATGTGGCTGGCACCCTAGCTGCTTGAGCTATAGGCACTGAGCCAAGAGGTTCTGCTTTTAAATTAGTAAGAGAAACTCCAGAAGATGAATGTACTCATACCCTATTTTATTTTAACTTTATTTTTATTTTATTTTAGACAGAGTCTCACTCAGTCACCCTGGGGTAGTGGAGTGCTGTGATGTCACAGCTCACAGCAACCTCAAACTCTGGGGCTGAAGTGATCCTCCTGCCTCGGGCTTCCAAGTACCTGAGACTACAGACACCCACCACTACGCCCAGCTAGTTTTTCTGATTTTGGGTAGAGACAGGGTCTTGCTCTGGCTCAGGCTGGCCTTGAACTCCTGAGCTCAAGAGATCCATCCTGGCTTGGCGCCTGTGGCTCAAGCAGCTAAGGTGCCAGCCACATACACCTGGCAGGTTCGAATCCAGCCCAGGCCTGCCAAACAACAATGATGGCTGCAACCAAAAAAAAAAAGGCCAGGTGTTGTGGTGGGCGCTTGTAGTCCCAGCTACTTGGGAGTTAGAGGCAGGAGACTCGATTGAGCCCAGGAGTTGGAGGTTGCTATGAGCTCTGAAGCCATTGCACTCTGCCCAGGGCGATAGCTTGAGGCTTTGTCTCAAAAAAAAAAAAAAAAAAATAGAGAGAGATCCATGCCCCTCAGCCTCCCAGAGTGCTAGGATTACAGTTGTGAGCCCTTGTGCCTGGGTTCATACCTCATTTTAAAATGCCGCGATTTCTTTTTAGTCTCTCCTTTTATATTGTTTATAGACTCATTCAGATTCCTTTGGTAAAATTCTCAGAACAAAAAAAAGTTATGTAGCCCAATTTCTGTTAAAGCAGAACATATGTTTGAAAAAGAACTCATAATTATGGAAAATTTAAAATACTCATAAAAAATAGGGTAGTACAATGAACCTCCCTTGAACCATGATCTGGCTTCTCTCACCCATATCCTTACTGATACTCCACAATGTTATTTTGAAGCAAATCCTAACATTCAATCCATAAATATTTCATTAAATATCTTTAAAAGTATGCCCTTTTTTTCTTAGACAGAGTCTCACTATGTCACCCTTGGTAGAGTGCCAGCAACTTCAAACTCTGGGGCTTAAGCGATTCTCCTGCCTCAGCCTCCCAAGTAGCTGGAACTACAGGCACCTGCCACACGCCAGGCTATTTTTTGTTGAAGTTGTCATTGTTGTTTAGCTGGCCCAGACCAGGTTCGAACCCGCCACCCTTGGTGCACGCGGCTGGCGCCATAACCACTGTGCTATGGATGTCAAGCCAGAAGTATGCCCTTTTAAAAACAGCCACAATGTCAGGTGGCACCTGTGGCTCAGTGAGTAGGGTGCCAGCCCCATATACCTAGGATGGTGGGTTTGAGTCCCGCCCTGGCCAAACTGCAACAAAAAATAGCCAGGCATTGTGGCAGGCACCTGTAATCCCAGCTACTTGGGAGGCTGAGGCAAGAGAATTGCGTAAGCCCAAGAGCTGGAGGTTGCTGTGAGCTGTGACGCCATGGCACTGTACCAAGGGCAATAAAGTGAGACTCTGTCTCAAAAAAAAAAGCCACGATGCCATTGTCCCATCTTAAACTATTAACAAATATCCAATGTATAAATTTTCACTTCTCTTAGAAATGTCACAAGTGGTTTTTTGCTTGTTTTTTATAAAGTGTTCATTGGAATGAGGACCCAAATAAGATCTATGTATTATAATTTTAAATCTTAAAACCTGCAAGTTCTTTTTCTTCTCGTATTGTATTTATTAAAGAAACCAGATTATTTGTTTTATAGAGTTTACCCAAGTCTGGATTTTGCTGATTATGCCATGATGTAGTTTAACACATTCTTTTTTTTCCTATAAAAAAGATCCTGTCCAGATAGAAGCTGACATTAGGGTCCTGGGACTTTGTAGGAAATAAAGTAGGTAGATGGGCTTGGGTTAATCAGGTTAGAGTTGGTGGGTGTTTTTCCATCGGGAGATACGTGACATCTGGTTCACTTTGTTGTTGTTGTTAGTTGTAACTGATGCTTTGCGACCAGATCTCTGTATTTACCTAGGGGCTTACAAAAAGTTGGTATTTTAATTGTATATTTCTTCTTCTTGTATCAGTCTACTTACATCTATAAAAGAAACTTCTCTATTCTTTAGTTACCAACAGGAAGGATAAATATATATATAATCTTCCCCTTTATTTACCAGTTTCCAAAACATTGAGTTGGTTCTATAGCATTCTTCAACAGTGACCAGCAAGCATACTTTACAGTGAAATTTGAGCCTATCAAGATCAAAGCTAACATTGAGATTAGAGTCATGGCGCCTTTTGACATTTGGAACAGTGTTTCCCAAACTTTCTTGACCATAGAAACCTTTAAAATGTATGAGACTTTTCTCAAGAGGAGTGAGAGAACCCAGACTGAGGAACTCTATCCACATCTACCCATTTCTCCTTTGCCCAAGTCTCATTCTCTGGTCACAGTCCCTTCTCTCATGTCCTTCTTATCCCATCTCCCCATACCCACAACTCTTTTCAGCCTTTTGCTGTGAAAAGGATCAAAGCTAACCAGCCCTTCTTGAAGTGATCATGGCAAATTATAATTAATTATATCTGGTCAGAATTTAAACTGATAGCCAGTTAAAAATTTGCTCTTATGGCATTAGAATTTGACCCTGAGATTGTAATTTTCTCATATTAAAATAGGATTGAGGCTCGGCGCCTATAGCTCAACCGGCTAAGGCGCCAGCCACGTACACCTAAGGTGGCGGGTTCGAATCCCCAGCCCGGACCCGCCAAACAACAATGACGGCTGCAACCAAAAAATAGCCAGGCGTTGTGGCAGGCGCCTGTGGTCCCAGCTACTTGGGAGGCGGAGGCAGGAGACTCGCTTGAGCCCAGGACTTGGAGGTTGCTGTGAGCTGTAATGCCACGGCACTCTGCCCAGGGGGACAGCTTGAGGCTCTGTCTCAAAAAAAAAAAAAAAAAAAAAATAGGATTGATGCAGTTGTTTTAGGATTGTGAAAACAATATTCTCTTTTATACTGCGTATTAAATACTTCACATTTTTTTTTTTTTTGAGACAGAGCCTCAAGCTGTCCCCCTGGGCAGAGTGCCGTGGCATTACAGCTCACAGCAACCTCCAACTCCTGGGCTCAAGCGAGTCTCCTGCCTCCGCCTCCCAAGTAGCTGGGACCACAGGCGCCCGCCACAACGCCTGGCTATTTTTTGGTTGCAGCCGTCATTGTTGTTTGGCGGGTCCGGGCTGGGGATTCGAACCCGCCACCTTAGGTGTACGTGGCTGGCGCCTTAGCCGGTTGAGCTATAGGCGCCGGGCCAATACTTCACATTTATAACATCATTTTCTCAAAACGTTTACAAAAGAGAATTTATTTAGTAGAGATTGGAGCAGAGTACTTACTATGACCCCTCATCCTTGGTTTAGATCAATGAGTAGTACTTGACTTACAATTATTTTACTTTACAAAATTCCTTTTCAGATGAGACAAACAGATCAGAATGTAATAACAGCTTTGACTCACAGACCTTGGAGCCTTAGCCATACAGGAGATGGGAAACCACGCTTTGATTCTTTCTGGAAACATTCCATGTTTGTGATAATGGACATTTTGCTCGATTGGAGCATGCATAATATCTTGTGGTACCTGTGTGGAATTTCAGCTTTCCTCATGCAAAAGGATTTTGTATCCCCGTAAGTTGGAAGGTTTTTTGTTTTCTCTTGACACATTTCCTGAATGCTTTTCTTGGAAGGCATAACTGAGTCGACAACCAGGATTGGTTCTGATCTGAAAAGCTTACAGTGCCTCTAAAATGGAAAGCTGCTGGCTTCTTAGGTGGAGAGAATTCAAACATATTTCACTGTTTCCAAACCAGATTCATCAGATATTCTTGGGTTTTTTTAGCATATTTAGAAAAACTGCATATGCCAAACTGTAGTGAGGAAATGATTTTATTTCTTATGATGGGCTTCTTTTGAAAGCCAACACAAGATCTCAAGTAGCGCCATAGTGAAGACCTCTGGAGGCACCAACCTCACTCCTAGCATTTTTCCTCCTGCTTGCCTGTACGTTGTGGGCTCTATAGGCCACATAGCTTCCAAGAAACTTTCCATTTCCCAGCCCGATAGTGGTCTCCGAATCTTTCTTTTAGCAATTTTATAGCTATTTCAGCAGATTAGAGTTGTTGGTTTCATATTACTTTAGATATGCATGTGTTTAATTCAGTAAATATTTGGTGAGTTGCCCACAGTATTGTATGGTACCATATTAAGAAGCTAAAGATACCACGGTCTCTGCCCTCATGGAGATTACAGGCAAATGCAAGAGAGAAGGAGAGAGAGAGAAACTGATCAAATAAAAGGCCAATAAACATAAAATTACAACTAGGATATCTAAAATGCATGCCATGTAGGAGAGAACATTGTGCGTAGCCTGGTCATCTGACCTAGTCTGAGTAGTCAGGGAAAGCATTCCCAAGGAAGTGACAGTCAAGCTGGGAGCTGAGGGCGAATAAGAACTGGCATAACCCAGTAGAGGGAAAGACACCTACAAAGGCGTTGTGGCAGGAGGGAGCATGGTTCTTGCAAGAAATTGAAAGAAAATTAATATTCTGGAGCATAGCAAAGAAAGGGGAAGTGTGGTGAGATGAGGCCAAAGAGACAGCCAAGGGCCAGGCCACCTTCAGTGGTTATGCCAAGACATTGGGGGGAAGGTGAGTATCAGTCAGCAAGCTACTAACGAACTTTAAGCTGGAATACCGTGGCGGAGGTTCCCAACATGCTGGGTTTATGGCTTCCATCTGATTGCAGAGAAGCGGCCAGTTAGGTTCTCTCTGGGTACACAGTGAACACCATATTTAGTGACCATTTTGGATTCCTGGGATAGCTGGTCATTATTCTAACAGGATTGGTTTTTCTTCTTTCTCCAGGGACTACTTGAAGAAGTGGTCTGCTAAAGGAATTCAGGTTGTTGGTTGGACTGTTAATACCTTTGATGAAAAAAGTTACTACGAGTCCCATCTTGGTTCCAGCTACATCACTGACAGCATGTTGGAGGACTGTGAACCTCACTTCTAGACTTTTACCTAGGGGAGCAAATACGGGTTCAGAAACCGCCAGTGGCCCTAGGCAGGGATATCAGAATACCCTTTGTGCTAGCCCGGGCCCTGGGGCATCAGGTGGCTCACACAAGCAATAGTTGGTAATTTCATTTTTACTTGAACCAAAACAAAACCCAATGTTGCCACCATGCTCCATGGAATGCCTGAGTTCAATACTGTTGCTCTTGAAAATCTGGGTCTGAGAAAAGGCACAACAGCCGCTGCCCCGACCTACGTGAAACAGACACAGGGATCGAGTGAGGATAAGCACAGGTTGGGTTGTGCAGCTGGAGATGCAGATGTAATGCATGGGACGTGCATGATAACTCAAGAGTTGACATTTTAAAACTTGCCATGCTTACGTATTTTAATTATTTCAAATATTTGTATTCAGCCACGTTAACAGTGTACCGTAGATGTCAAACTTGAGGCTATACTAATTAAATTATTAAAAGGAGCACTAAGGGAAAACTGTGTCCCAAGAATCCTATCCTAAGGCATAAGGAATTTGGGAAAGCTGCTGTGTGTAATCCAGCGAGAATTCAATGTGCAGCAACAAACAGTAGGGAATCCAGCCTGGGGAATTATTTGTCATATTTTGAATTAAGTGCTGCCAGCTGAATTGCACCTGGCTTGTTAGGTTGCTCTGTAACAGATGATCATAGATAATTAAAACTATAAAAACCTCCCAAGACTTACCTAGGCTTATCTTCATTTTACAAATGAAAAAAACTAAAACCTGTGGAAAGGAAGGAGTTGTGTCAAAAATAACACAACTTGTGTGTGCTATATAGCAGAGCCTGATTTCATGATACCTAAAATGTCTTGTTTGCAGTTGGCAAACAGAAAATATATGAGTGGGTTAACAGGCATTATCTTATCCAACCCTCGCAAAAATCTTAGGGAGGTGTTAACATTCTTCTTTCTGATGAGGAAACTGAGGCAATGCCTTGTGAAAGCCACAACCAAGGTCTCTGAGTCTGTGGTACAATTGATACTCCAATACAGGTTAAGGTGCCTCCAGAGCCACTGCTCTTAACCACTCAGCAAGTCTGCCCGACCCTGTGCTCTTTCCCACATGAGCCTCCATGGGTTTTATCATGAACTTAAGTAGCAATATTTAAAGTTGACTTTTTTAAAAAATGGCAAAGCATCTATTTCCTCTAGCTTACCCCTTCCCACCTTTCCACCCCATCTATGGCCTTCATCCTAGGTCACAACTCTGTCATGGCTTCCCTCCCGCACGTCTCCAGCAGGTCACCAGCCTCACACCTGTAGGGCCAGGCATTGAGAGTTTTGCAAAGCCAGAAGTCCACACAGCTAGTGGGGCGTGAGAAGCAGACAGTTGGTATTAGCAGGGGCATAGTAATTGGGACTTGGCATATTTTTTAGCAACAATGACAAAGAAATTATTTGAATTTTAAAATTAACAAAGATTTGCTCAATGAATGAAACAAATTGCTGTTATTGTTGTTGTTGCAGTTGTCGTTGTTGTCCAGCTGGCCCAGGCTGGGTTCGAACAGGCCAGCCTGGGTGTATGTGGCCGGTGCCCTACCCACTGAGCTACAGGCACTGCCCAAATGGAACAAATTTCTAAACTGCATGTATTAATACTTCCGTGCCACATTATGACTAGAGGGAAAAGATGGAGGAAAAGGTAACTAAAGAAGACACATCTGGAGACTGAATTCAGCTCTGGGTACCTTCTGAGACTGCACAGGCAACTCACAGACAGGGAAGGGTTTCTCTTGGGGGAAGTTTTGAGTTAATAACCTCTTTTCTGTTGTATGAAGATCTCCAGACAGCCAGGAGTTCTCTTGACCTTCATCCCAAATTCATTTTGCCCTTGATGTAGTCATGCCAAATTAAGGATTTAGGTCATATGCTAAGATGGTCTGGGCTTTAAACAATGGAGAATTTAGATGATAAAGTAAGGTGTTAATAACTATTAATAGTAGTTACTAAGTACTTCCTTGGAAGGATTAGTAAAGCATTAAAAACTGGATTTAGGATTGGGAAAGCCAAATCTGAATTCCTTATGAGCAACTTACTAGCTGTATGACCTTGGGTAAGTTAACTTAATTGATCTGTAAAAAAGGGGTACCATTTGTACCAGCTCAGGGGATGGTTGTGATTAAATGAAAGAGTGCACATAAAATGTTTGTTAACATTTATTGACTGCCTGCCATGTCCTAGACACTTTCACATGCTTTCCATGTATGGTATTTAGTCTTTCCAACAATGCTGTGAAGTGGGTACCACTATAATCCCGTTTTGTAATAAAGGCAACCAAAGTACAGGTAAGTTAAGTGACTTAGCCAAAGTTACATAGCAGTGATAGAATCAGGATTTGGACTTAGGTGATCCAATTCCAGACCCCATACTCTCTTTTTTTTTTTCAATTTTTATTTTATTTATTTATTCAGAGACAAAGTCTCTGTCACCCTTGGTAGGGTGCCATGGCATCATAGCTCACAGCAACCTCAAACTCCTGGGCTCAAAAGATCCTCCTCAGCCTCAGCCTCAGCCTCAGCCTCGTGAGTATTTGGGACCACAGGCACACTCCATGATGCCTGCCTACTTTCTTTCAATTTTTTTTTTTTTTTTGGCGGTTTTTGGCCGGGGCTAGTTTTGAACCCACCACCTCTGGCATATGGGGCCAGTGCCCTACTCCTTTGAACCACAGGAGCTGCCCTTTTCTTTCAATTTTTAATAGAGATAAGGTCTCACTCGTGCGCAGGCTGGTCTCGAACTCCTGAGCTAAGCAGTCCACCTGCCTTGGCCTCCCAGAGTGCTAGGATTACAGGCATGAGCCATGGCGTCTGGCAGACCCCATACTTTTATCATTGTGTTTGGCAAGAACTCAAAAAATGTTTTGAACCATCTTAGTGATTACTAGCACCTGTCACGGGGCCACTCACATAGTTACTCCTCAATAAATTACTAATTACAGGATATTCAAGTGGAAATTTCTTTCATTTCCTATAGACAAATGATTGAGGATTGAGCAGCATGAGAAAGCACAGGTCAAATTCACATCCTCTCCTGCTTATCTGACTGCCCCTCTGCATCTCAAGGTGCCAGAGACAGAGATAACAAAGGGCAACCTCAAAAGGCTTAAGCAATCCACTATTCCTTGATTACACAATACTCATTTTCTTGTTTGGAGACTGATGTCTACAATCCTCTTTCAATAAGAATTTGATCCAGATGTATTTTTACCCTTTACCAGCTACCATTTCCTAAAGTGGGGACAGGGCTTCAACAGGACAATCAACTCCAGCACTAAGCACAAGGGTAAAATGATGTAAGCATCACCCTTGTTAGCACTGAGTGATAGTCATCATAGGACAAGGTTATGTGCCTTTTTTGATAAAAAATATTGAAGAACAGTGACCTTATTTATTCTGTTACCAAACTTTTAACAATCAGTAGAACACCGAATGGCAAGCAGAGAATGCAAAATGGTTCTCAAAGGATGGATGCTGTCTTTTAGGACACATCCTCAACATCCACATTATGGGGAGTTAGCAGAAATGCAAATTCTTAAATCCTACCCCAGAACTTCTGAACCAGAAACTCTGGTTGGGGTCCCATGATCTCTTACAACAAGCTGTCAACATGGTTCTGATGCACACTCAAGTCTCAGAACCCTCAAGTTAGAGAAACACATTCCAGACAGGATTCCAGGAAACTCAAAGTCCTCCATTCTGTCACTATCTAGCTGTGAGACCGCAGACAAATCACTTAACCTGGGCGTGCCTAAGTTTTCGTCATCTATCAAAAGGCAATCATAATATTTGCCCTAAAATTATAGTGATAATGGGGAAGTGTTTTGAAAAACATTAACAGTGCAGGATGGGTGTGGTGGGCCTCATGCTTATAATCCTAACACTCTGGGAGGCCAAGGCAAGAGGATCCCTTGAGCACAGGAGTTCGAGACTAGCCTGAGCAAGAGCAAAGCCCCCATCTCTTCTAAAAGTAGAAAAATTAGCTGGGTAGTATGGTGGGCGCCAGTGAGGCTGAGGCAGGAGGATCACCTGAACCTAAGAGTTTGAATTTGCTGTGAGCTAGGCTGACCTCACAGCACTCTAGCCTGGGGCAACAGAGACTTGTCTCAAAAAAAAAAAAGTATTAATAGTGTAATATTATTATTATTATTATTATTTTTTGTAGAGACAGAGTCTCACTTTGTCACCCTTAGTAGAGTGCCGTGGCGTCACACAGTTCACAGCAACCTTCAACTCATGGGCTTAAGGGATTCTCTTGCCTCAGCCTCCCAAGTAGCTGGGACTACAGGCGCACACCACAATGCCTGGCTATTTTTAGTTGCAGTTCGGCTGGGGCCAGGTTTGAACCCGCCACCCTCAGTATATGGGGCCGGCGCCCTACTCACTGAGCCACAGGTGCCTCCCAGTATATAATTTTTATGAAGATTAAATAAGAAAAAAAGTGGAAGTGCTCTAATTCTCAGACCCACAGTACTTGTTAGAAATGCAGACTCTGGCCCCTTCCTCACAAGTTAAAATGTGCTGTATAACAGGATCCCCAAGTGGTCAGGATTGGAGAAACACTGTGGGGTAGGGCGTAGTAATGCCCCTACACAGGTGAAGGCATTATTTTTATCATGCGGGTGCAATCCTGAGCAAAGCAGACGCTTCCTCTGCTCTATACCTAAGCTCTCCTCTCTGAGGTCTTTCTCACTGTTAATCAGTCATAAAAATGAAAAACTTCCAACTTTGAGAATTTAGGGAGGTATTGTTAAGGGCTACCATTCTGAAAGGCAATTCCCATTAATGAACTCAATTCTTAGCACTTTTCTTTTTTTTTTAGACAGAGTCTCACTTTGTCACCCTTGATAGAATGCCATGGCATCATACTTCAGAGCAACCTCAAACTCTTGGGCTCAAGTGATTCTCTTGTCTCAGCCTCCCAAGTAGCTGGAACTACAGGCGCCTGCCACAACACCCGGTTTTCTTAGAAATGAGGTCTCACTCTGGCTCAGGCTGATCTGAAACTCCTGAGCTCAGGCAATCCATGCTCCTGGGCCTCCCAGAGTGCTAGGACTACAGGCATGAGCCACTTCTCCTGGCCCTCATTTCAAAGATTATAATTACATAAGCAAATCTTAAGCTATTTTGTCACTCCTTATAGAATTGAATTACACACAAAATCATCTCATTGCCTCATAAGAAATGAACTGGCCATTCACTGTAGTCACTTGAAGCCTTGAATCCTGCAGAAATTCAAAAACAGCTACCCTTTTTTATATTTAAAACTATAGGGGTTCTTCCAGCTTTCCAGGGACTATTAAAAAATGTTCCTTTTATCACTTTGAGACAAAATATTCCAGACACTATTGGCAGTCTTACAGTCAGGCAAGTTTGGAAAGAACTACTCTCGATCCCCACTCAGTGGTTCTCATACCTGGCTTCCCACTAATACCGTATGGAGAGCTTTAAAAAAAAGTACAGATATCTGTGTTCTGCTCCAAAAGTGCTGACTTAGCTGGTCTACAGTGAGGCCTGGCCTGGTTGCTATAAGCAGTTCCCTGAGAACCCTGCTGCCTAACCATAGGATTCTCCTCCATCACAAACTGAATTGTGTCCTCCAAAATGAAAATGTTGACGTGCTAACCCCTAGTATCTCAGAATGTCACTGTATTTGCAGACAAGGCCTTTAAACAGGTGATTAAGTGAAAATGAGGCCTTTAGAGTAGGTCCCAATCTGATCTGACTAACATCATAACAAGAGGAAATTTAGACACAAAGTAACACCAGGGATCTAAGTGCATTGAGGAAAGACCATGTGAAGACACAATGAGAAGGTGGCCAAGGCAAGCCAAGGAGAGGGGCCTCAGAAGGAAACCCACCTTGCCAACACTTTTAGACTTCCATCCTCCAAAACTATAAGAAAAATTTGTTGCTTAAGCCACTAGTCTGTTTTGTTATGGTCTTTCTCAAGGCAAATGTTTTTGTTTTGTTTTGAGATAGAGTCTCACTTTGTCCCCCTTCCCCCTGTAGAGTGCTGTGACATTGTAGCCCATAGCAACCTTAAACTCTTGGGCTGAAGTGATTGTCTTGCTTCAGCCTCCCCAGTAGCTGGGACTACAGGCACCAACCACAACTTCTGGCTATTTTTAGAGATGGGGTCTCACTCTAGCTCAGGCTGGTCTTGAACCCATGAGCTCAGGCGATCTGCCCACCTTGGCCTCCCAGAGTGCTAGGATTACAGGCATGAGTGACCATGCCCAGCCTCAAGGGAAGGGTTGAAAGCAATGAAGTACACATCTAAATGTGTACATAAGACCTAGCGACCAGATGTTTCCACTGCATTTATACCTTTAGGAGTCACAGGGGCTATACTGAAGATAAGGAACGGAGGTAGTTGGAGAAGAATTCCTTAGAGAAGCACTTAGTAGGTGGTAAGCAACCAGAAGTGACACTCTGAAAGGGAGCTCACATTTCAGTACAGAAGCCAAAGCAGCACAAACAGCATCAAGATGACCCAGAGGAGAGAAATCATGTCAAACACCATCCCATGGGCTTCATTGACCCCATAGACAAGTCTCCCTTAGTTCCCTGTGACTCCCCTTCAGAACACCTATCACAACCATAATACTGTTTGAGCATTAAGTTCATGTCTAAATTAATCTGCTGGACAGTAAGTGCCATGATTTGTTCACCATCTTGTTTCCCCACCACTTGACCCATATTTAATGAATGAATGAATGAACAAATTACTAGCAACCACTACCAAAGATGATACCAAAAGAAATTAATTCAGCTAATGAAGTGAACTAAGGAATGAATAAGTGAATGCACTAGCACTGGTTGGGTGCTTGTGTTTCAAAGGTAGCTTAAATGCTTTCTAAATTCAATTCCAATTAGATTTAATGACAGTGAGTACTTCAGAGGGGACTCCTCTCCCCTGAGTAAATTGCACCCATTTGCTGGACACTTCAGTTTTAATAACAGTCACGTGTCTGGCGAATCTGCAAAAATATACATGCACATTGATTACATAAGCGCGCGCGCGCACACACACACACACACACACACATATTCCATTCGTCACCCCTGGTTTCATGTTTGGTTCAACATAAGACTTTGCTTTGTTTTTAGAGACAGGGTCTCTGTCACCCAGGCTGAAGTGCAGTGGTATGATCCTCCTATGTCAGCCTCCCAAGTAGCTGGGACTACAAGTACATACCACCACCCCCACCATCCAAAAAATAGAAAAAGGATTGCTTGAGCCCAGGAGTTTGAGACTATAGTGATGCAGGGCTATAATGATGCCACCGTACTCCAGGCTGGACAACAGAGTGAGACCTCATCTCGAAACAAAAAATAAAACAAAAACCTCATAGGGGAGAACCCTCCTCCCTCCAGTCCTATTCCAACTACTTGCGTGTATAACATGCAAGAAAGTTCTGAGACACTTGGGCTCTGGCTATACGTCACGTTTAGAGGCATGGGGATCTTTTTAGCTCAAAGTCATGAATACAGGTTCCATAACTCAGAAACTTCACATCTCTACTTGAGGATCACATTTTTATTCAAACTGGATCACTTTTCTTAGCAGCAGTGTTAAATCTTTGCCAGGTCTGGGACATCTGGGAAGGAAGATTCCCAAGGGCCAGTCATTCATAGACATATTTCTTGAAGATAAAACACATCATTCCTGAGTTATCACTCCCGGGTTTTTGTGGGCTAGTTTCAATATGGCAACAGTCTATTGGAGAACCTCAGGTACTTGGTCTTAAAAACTTTGTAATCCAGGTGTTAAAAAAATAGCAGGAAATGCCCAATTTTACTTGGCTATTTACATTGCAGTCAGTTTCCGCTCCTCACTGAAGGCTTGCGTTCCCCTCTGGGAAGCCCGGAAAGGCCCATGGAAGATGTCATGGAAAACCTTTCATCGTCTTTCCTTGTTTGATTGGTGTCTGGATACCACAATAATCATCAAGTCCTTGGATTATCTTCTTGAACCGATTGTCTAAATCGCAGCTCTGGGTTTGACACGGGAAAGAGAAATTAGTAAGATAGACACTACCCCATCTCTATAAAGGAAAAATCAAACTGGCCTCCTAGATCCCACAGCTTCTCGTGCCTTCCTTGGCTCCTCCTTTTTAGTTTCTGTAACCCTCCCTCTTGAATTCCCATCACTAGAAGTCATCAGTAAATGCTATTCCAAAAGATGAATGTGTGTGTGTTTCCCTCCCACCATTCACTCTTTCTTGTAGCATCAGCCCCAGATTTTCTTTGGGAAACCACCTTCTCTGCTCTCAGTCCTGGGGTCTTTACGGTTGCACCACCTGTATCTATACATGAGGCACATGGCTCAGATCTGACCAAGGGAACTGCCACATTTTCATAGCCATAGCAATCGGCCTCAAGAATGGGCATAACACCCAATAAGATGTTATGAAACACTGTGAGAACTCTGGGTCCCCTACTCTTTCCCACTAGATTGAATCTGGGAAGATACAAGAAGTGGATACAGCTGTCTTTCAATTATTAAGAAGATCCCTATTTATAAAAGGAACTAAGATGATGGATAAAAACCAAACTGGAAAAGAAAAAAAAGGTTCTGGCAACATTGCAGCCTCCAGTTTGGGGCCAGCTCTAAAGTAAGAATCATTCTTGGATTCTTGCGGAAGCCAGTTTGAGTCGGGTTTGCAATCGAAAGAGCAATGGATATACAGGCAATTCCGACCCTGCACCTTGGGATATATGCCTGGACAAATTAGTGTCTTGTCCTGTGCCACATGGGTTACTCACCAGGGACAGCATCATGTTCCCCCAAGTGCCAAGGGCTTTGTTGCTGAAAAAAAAGAAAATAGGTGGCCACATCGCTATGAAAGAATGTAGATTCTAGGACTTGTTGCATAGCTGACATCCCTTGTGAGTCCCCCACAATTTTAAAATTAAGGGGCAACAGATTAAGACCAAGCCTCAGCTATAGAAATACCAACTATGTTTTGCTTTTTAGAGGCAGTAATTCCATACATTCATTCATCCCACAGATATTTACTGAGCATTTACATTATACCAGGTAATATGTTAGGACTCAGGATACAAACAGGTCTCTGCCCTAAGAGGATTTAGCACTGGGCCTCCAGATCTGTTACCTAAATCCGGCTGACAGCATTGTCATAAATAGTCTCTTCTATCAAGATCACGACTTCCAAGATGACTGGCATTTGAATTACGGTGGGTTTACCATTTACCCATATTTTCCAGGACACCAAAGAAGCCAGCAAGGGGTTAGGAATTAGAACAAGGTTCTAGGCATCTTTTATGCCCTCTTGGTAGGAATGTACTTGGTAAAATCTTTTTAAGAGAGTGATACCCCAATATCCATTAACATTATAATGTAAGTGCCCTCTGGCAGAAATACCTAAAATAATTGTAACAAAAATATTTCATTACATACCATTTTTAGTATTTAAAAAACCTGGAAACAACCCAAATGTCCAAAGATGAACAGAATGAAACAATGTCTGAGATGTAATATTAAGTGGAGGGAAAATTTTATGATACTATATGTATAATATCATCTCACTTTTGTAATAAACAAGCAAATTCAAGTATTAAGTATTAGCAGAAGCAGGTGTGTTTGCAGATGCCTAAGGAAAAAGAAAAGAAAATACACTGAAGGGGCGGTGCCTGTGGCTCAAAGGAGTAGGGCGCCAGCCCCATATGCCAGAGGTGGCAGGTTCAAATCCAACCCCGTCCAAAAACTGCAAAAAAAAATACACTGAAGTATTAACAGGGGGGATGAGATTCAGGGTCAACTCTGGGCTCTACTTTGGTGTCACTGAGTTTTATAAAACAAGCATGCAAGTTGTGTTCATTATAACCCCAGTACCTAGACTGAGTCCAGCATGGAAAGTATTAAATGAATGAATAGATATTTTTTAATTTTTTGAGACAGACTCTCATTCTGTTGCCCCAGACTGTGGCATCAGCCAAGCTCACAGTAACTTCAAATTCCTGGGCTCAAGTGATCCCTCCTGCCTCAGCCTCCTGAGTAGCTGGGACTACAGGTGCCTACCACAACACCTGGCTAATTTTTCTATTTTTAGTAGAAACAGGGAGTCTCACTCTTGCTCAGGCTGATCTTGAACTCCTGAGCTCAAGGGATCCTCCTTCCTCAGCCTCCCAAAGTGCTACGATTATAAGCATGTACCATCGCACCTGGTGGAATATTATTTTTTAAATAAAAATCATAGGAATGCATAAACACAGAACTTGAAGATCCCAAGAGCCTGGTCTCTAGTTGCCTGATGCGGTCTCCAGCCTCACCTCTACTTCTCTCCTCTCCAGTACAAGACCGCTGGGATTCGCTCTCTTCTCCGTATCCTGCAGCTTCATCAGCTTTTCTATCAGGAACATTTTATCTTTGCCCTCCTGCCAAGAGGGAAAACAAACACATAGATGAATGATGTTATGAGGCTGAGAAGCAACTGAGGGCAAGAAGGTTGATGATGTTCAGGCAGGTAAGGTCCCAGAAGTTGGATGGAGATAGCAGCCATGTTTGTGCTTAATGAGAGAAAAGAAACATTTTAATGCGAAGCCAAATTATCACCCCCTCTCTCCACCATGACTTCTGCATTATAACATTCTCCTCTAAAACAATTCCCCTAGCAAGATGGAGCAGCAGCCTCTAGTCTGCGGCCAGAAGCAACAACTTACATGCCCAGGACCAATAGTTTTCAGTATCCTCATTCCTGCCATGCTCCTTGCCCCACAAGCCTGTTCTGTGAAACTAGTATGGCCCGGGTCTTCCCTGCCCTCCCACTGAGAAAGCCAAAGTTCAGAGATTTGCCCCTCAAGGACGTTTCATTTCTCAAAGTTATCTGTGTTGATTGATGGAGGTCGAGGTTCAAGTTGGGCAGAAGAACAAAGGAAGGGGCAAGCCTTCTCACCAGAGGGTGTAATCAATCACTTCCCTGTGAATCCCTATAGCAGATAAGAGAGCAGAACATTCCACCTGTATGTAGAGGTAGTCAAGCGTGACCTGTTTGTCCCACCTAGGTCAACTGCAGCAGTCCCATTTCCATCCCTCTGTTTCTCCTTAAACTTTTACCCACTAATTTTAGCATCCACCAATGGATCTTTTTTTTTTTTGAGACAGAGCCTCAAGTTGTTCCCCTGGGTAGAGTGCTGTGGCATAGCTCACAGCAACCTCCAACTCCTGGGCTCAAGCGATTCTCCTGCCTCCGCCTCCCAAGTTGCTG